CGATCAAAGGAACGAAGCGAAACAAAATAATGCGTGGTGGAGGCATATGAGCCAACTCAATTTAATCAAGTGTTAATCAGTATTTATAGCCAGATAAAATTAGATTATAGACATGTGATTAATATGATAAGAAGTGTACACACATATGTTCTCATATAAAAACAGTCAAAGTTGATAAGCGAATAATTAACAAGGTCAAAACGTGACTCAAGAAGAATAGATAAATTGGCCTGTCCAGAAGGTAGAATAATTTATATGGGCTTAACATAATAACCGATACTACAGTCAGTTTGTGGAGATTATAGTAAATTTAGTAGTTGGATTGCATCAGTCGATATAAGCTAGACCACCATTGAAAACCTGGAAGCACTGGACGGTCGTTTCGTCCTAGTATGGGACTCCTCAGTAGTACTCATCCACGAAAAATAAATGTATATATTTATAAAAAAATATGTTGTTTTCTGGCAACAAAGCAGAATATAACTATTCTGAAGGGCGATTTTCTTTCTTTTCATGAGTATTTTGACAAAAACAAACATAAAGCAAGCACTCTACACTTTTTACACATTATTTATATGTACAATTGAAAGTATATTTCTATTTCTTGAACACGATTGTTACTATTATAATTGTTGGGTATTAGGTTTGTTCAGACACAGGCATTAGGCTATTTGTAAATTATCCATCAAATAAGAATGAATTAGAGGTTATAGAAATCAAGGGGTATTTTAATAAATAGTAGTATTTTAAATCGTTGAAAGACACTGTCAATAACAAAATCAGCCAAAAAAGCCTCATAGTTTGCGTTTCTGTATTCTATATAAAACTGATGAAAGTCTATTTTTAAAAATTTATATAGATTCTCCCAATAGCCCACATAAACATCTTTAGTGTATGTCAATCAGACTGACTGGAGCTTGATGCACAAGCTAATACTAAATTCGTGAAGATATTGTGTCGCAAATAATCACAGTAGTTTGTTCAATGTACTTAACGTAAGCCATAAACATTTATTTAGAAATAATGACAACAGAAGTTCTTATAAGATCTACTTTTATCTTGACGAGACACTGAAATATTATTTCTAACAGTTTGTAGTGTCAGTTATTATGCCAAGCCCATATATCTTATTCGAGCTTTCGGACATCCCATTCTATTCATTTTACTTGAGCCATACATTGACCTTGTTATTTATTCGCTTATCAATCTAGACAAAGATGGAGTTGGCTTCCCAGCCATCTTCCATACGTGTCATTTTTGCTTTGCTATGCTTCATTCGCTTCATGTACGAAATATATGTATTCTCAAGTCAATTCTCGTTATTCGACTTATTTAATTCCGTTATTGGATAACGCGATTCAAGTCGACGATGATATACGAGAAAAGGTGATAACAATCATACATACGCTCTAAATAGGAGTCAGACCAACGGGCTACTAAATTGGTAAGCCTGCCGACGACGAACGCAACGCAGCAAGCTACGTCGATGAAGGAACTTCTGCACTCTATACGTTCGACGAACAAATTCAGCGAAGCCAGCGCAATATCCAATCCGATGCAATCAGCAAAGCCTGTGCATCACGGTATGGACATGCTCAAGTCGTATTATCTTATCGACGCTTTGTACTCATGTCAACCATTCTCATTGATCCATTCGTCGGTTTGTTTAATTACGATTCAAATTATCATTATATTCTTATTATTACATTATTATCAGTATCATGACCGAATGTGGAATTATTATTCTTGTTCGTGCTGTCACTAAATTGACATTTTCGCAATCATATCACTCACCGAACAAATTATCATTTTATGAAAATCCCACTCTACGTAATGACATCTAAAACTCATTGGAATATTTCTATTCAAAAACGTGAAATTTTCCTGCTTTAAGTGAGTTCGTTCCAATTTTTCATGTCATTTTGATCTAATATTGCATTCATTCACTTAGTCGAGGTTAGCAATTTATGTTATCACAACATACATTTTTCGTTTCGAAATCGCCTCCTATTATGTCTGTGGATGCATCTAACTAGCTGACTAGTAACCATTACGTTCATTTTATCTATTCTTCCACGTGCATAACTACATGCTGCATCACTTATCACTCAAAAACGCTATTCGAGTACTGCAACTACTATTCTATACCTATCGCATAGTATATCAGAACATAGAGTTTAGAGCTACTCTCTCAAAGATACACTCTTGTTCGTCACATCCAAGTCAGTCTCATACGACGCCATCACTAATCATATATATTGGTATTTCTGTCATGCCTTGGTACGGTTTTGTAACAAACGAGATCGAGCGCATCTCCCTCAAACCACACAAACCACTCTAGGCTTCATGACCAAAAAGGAATACGACTCTACGTACCTCGTCTACTCAGTCACTATTCTGTTCCTCTGGTCATTCTACTAATACATATTCAACGATAACTCGGTGCATCTGTCATAACGCAGACGACAACGTTCACTGACTTCAAATTTTATGATTATTATCAATTGCAGTACAGCAACGAATATCACCCTTCGATGCAGATATCATTTCACGACTTGCCTATTATTATCCTATGAACGGGAACTACGCATTTAAATTCGAATTCACTCATCGCTAGTCGATGCTATTTATTCTGCTGCGGCTCATCAGAACATATATTTAACATATTTCACTATCCTGTCGACATCACAGACCAATTTCTGTCGTATCCTACTCTACTTATCTTCATGATTTGTTTCGCTGTCATACCCACAAACAATTTATTATTATTTTCACGATAATTTGAATCACTCATACAAACTTGTTATTTTATCGTTCAGACAGTCAGCATTAGTACATGTTAATTTTTGTACGCTCATTAATTTGCTCATATTCGTATGCTGACGTTTCCATTTTTGTCCGCGCCTTTTCAATATTCATGTATTCTTTTGCATAAGTACAACATTTTCATATAATACACTCACCCCTCATGTGACACTACTGTACTTTATCGAGTGTTGTACAATTTTTTTTGCTACTTACAGTTAACTTTAACTACGCACCACTTCACTGTTATTTTCGAAAACAGACATTTTTTAAATGTGCTATTTTCTACAGGGAGGCTATGTAGTGTCAGTTATTATGCCAAGCCCATATATCTTATTCGAGCTTTCGGACATCCCATTCTATTCATTTTACTTGAGCCATACATTGACCTTGTTATTTATTCGCTTATCAATCTAGACAAAGATGGAGTTGGCTTCCCAGCCATCTTCCATACGTGTCATTTTTGCTTTGCTATGCTTCATTCGCTTCATGTACGAAATATATGTATTCTCAAGTCAATTCTCGTTATTCGACTTATTTAATTCCGTTATTGGATAACGCGATTCAAGTCGACGATGATATACGAGAAAAGGCGATAACAAACATTTATACGATCTTGGAGTCAGATTCACGAGCCACTTCAAGTTCATAGTATGCTATAAACAAATAAATACGCAAGTAATGTTCTTCTGACAATATCCTGAAGTGCTTATTAATTTAATTAGAAATTTATTTACTTGCATAATTTACCACAAGCATTTGAAATATCCAGTAGGTTTATTTTACGAAACAGGATTTGATGTCCTTAATCAATACACGCTTTAAGCAATGGCTGACTACTTATTTATAGCTTATTTATCTCATCAGCAAGATGCTATATGAAAAGACTAATTAATTATTGTTATATCTAGAGCTTAGATTCTCAATGTACCACGCATAACTTGAGCACTCGAATGCTAGAATCCTCCAAAGTCGCAAATGAGAAGACAAAAGACAAGTGAAACGAATGCTATTCAAAGCAGTGTCAATTATGGTACAAAATTCTCAGGTATTTATAGTTTCTAGTAAAAATGAAATCATCATTATAGTCATTCAGACCGTAAACAGGGGTGTTTTAGCATTTGTCCAATAGGGAAGCTACCCGTAATGATTCTGGAATATTCTTCGAAATGATGATTGGACGAATGTCTTCAGCTCCTGAGTTTCTTAGAGTTTCCTCGAGTTCACCTGTGGGTCGTCTTTACAATTAATAGTTAAAAAGTTAGTATGCTCCCGGTGTTGTAATCTGGCCAGTATGTATGATAACTCATTATAACCCACATCACCATGTTTATCATTATCGAGTGGGTGTTGATTTCGAGTCTTAACATTAGTAACAGCATTGTAATGTAAGTGAGTTCAGTTGATGATTTCAATTAGTATAAACTGATAATTCAGATTTCCACTGCTTACTGCTATCCTAATATCATAAATAATTTTTCCAATCATTTGCATATTGTCATTAATGTTGTTTCCCTTAGGTTTACGTTACTCATCTAGATTTAAGGAATATATATTTATATATGCAAGTGTTTTTAAGACTTCACAGTTTATCAATAATTTACATAGTTATTCTTCAGGAGTTATAACTATTGTCATTTAGAAATTTCCGACTAATTTTTCATATATATATGCATGTGGGAATATTTTGGTCATATATGTTAGACGATAGATTTTGTGTCACAAAGCATCTCTGCTTTACTAATTTGTGTGTGCACATCACAAGCACACACACATATGTGTGTATAATCTCTCTCTCCACATACAATATATGGATGTATACGGATAAGTTCCTGTAAATAAGAATATGACTGAACAATACTGAACAAATATTGCCTAGTACGAATTATCTCAACTTTGTGATCAGCTGTTGCAAACTGACATTGGCTATTTCTGTCACTGAAATTTTCTCTAACTTGGTACACTATTGTGGAATATTTTGACATATGTTTCTTGTTTTCTCTCTCCCACTCTCTCTCTCTCTCTCACTCCCAACCTTCGCTGTCCATATCTGCAATGATAATAAATAATGAAATAATAAATGTATTAATACTATAAATACTACTAATACTACTATTAATGGTGGTGGAAGGGGTTTCTTTTTTATCATAACATACTAGCCATTCAGAATAAGAGAGACAGACTCAGATAAATGTGTTTATCTACACGTGTATATATGTGTTTGTACATGGATGAGTGTATGCTATTTGTTTAGATATTATGTTCTATCATGAAACACATAGTATTTTTTTAGGGTATTCACAATCATTCCATATATCGGATGTTATCCTTTTAATTTCCCTCATATTTCTTCTTCTATACCCAATACTCCAATGTCCAATAAAACTCAACAGAGGTAAATAATGAGCAATTTCATTTAGTTACTTACAGATTTATTTACCCATTGGACATCACATAGTCATGACAATTTAAAACAACAATCTGTAAGATTGATTTTAATGTAATGACAATATGAAAAAAATCCTTTATTAATTAATTATTATCAACATGAACATGTGGAGTTAATTATTAGAAATCTTTTTTTTCATTACCAGTATCATATTAACTAATTTGGTAAGTTGTAATTATTGTAATGATCAGTGAATTTTGTTTTAATTATTAATTGAAATTTACAATATTAAGTAATTATCAGAAGGGGTTTGGGGACATTTTAGAAATTTCACTGATTGAAATCATGAGTCATTTTAAGCTAGACCACCATGGAAAACCTGGAAGCACTGGACGGCCGTATCGTCCTAGTATGGGACTCCTCAACAGTGCGCATCCACGATCTCGCACCCCGCGAGTAATTACTAATAATTCATTGAACTGTATGAATTAATAATGATAATTATTTTTTTTTAATTTCTTTTTATTTATATAGTGTAAAACATAAGGAATAGATCAGAGTTACAATTCTAAATCCTTATTTGTCTAAGAATAGTAGAGTAAGATTGATAGTTTGTATACTTTACGTTGGCTCATAGTTCAATTATCACTAAATTGAAATGATTCTCTATGTTTTTATGACGATTAGTAGATTTAAGCTTAAACTACGTGATGGAATCGCTAATATCTTACTTAAAGTATAACTTCTACTATTGTATTTTCCTTCAATTCTTCCTTTATATATATAATGAACTAAATGGGATTAGACAATAAGTATATACATTTTCAAAACAAGATATATTATTACTTGGTGCACATTAGGATGTGCTTTGTTTAATTGCTTCAAAATTCCATAACTGACCAGATTCTCTTTTTATGCTTACTGATTAGTATTATTCATTTAATTCAAGGAAATGCTACACTATATTCATGTAAATTATGGAAATAAATCAAAATACTTATTATGAATCGTCATTGCAGATGAGGTATTGAGACACATTTATGAGTTAGAAAAAATAATTTTATTAGCGTTGTGTTTACCTGATTTAAATAGTTTATTCATGAAGCGTTCATTCTTCATTAATTTATGTTATATATATATATTTACTAAAATCTTTACAGAACTACTTTAACTAAAGTTAATAAATCCGTATTTTCACAGCAGAAATCACGAATCGATCCAAGCTAGAACACTATTGAGAACCTGGAAGCACTGAACAACTATTTAGTTGTAGTATAGGACTCCTCATCAGTGAACATCCACGATCTCACACATGGGATTTCAACTCAGGACCCTCGATCTCACGTCTAACCACTAGACCATTAAGCCAGCATCTAACGGTGTTATTGTCCAACTTCAACCAATCCATGACCTTGTACAATCCTTCATCAATTGCCTGCGGTGGGTAACTGTCTCACATCCTATACGGATTAGACTCCACTGGTCACGGGGCGAAAACGAAGGTCCTGGATTTGACTCACACGTGTGATATCGTCGATGCCCTCTGTTAAGGAGTCCTATACTACAACTAAATAATTGTCCAATGCTTCCAGGTTTTCAATGGTGTCCTAGCTTAGATCGACTCATGATTTCAACTGTGAAAATACTACAGTTTCCACAAACACCTCATACTGATAAAAGTCCCTATTTCTTTTGTGGTTTGGTATATTGAATATTCAAGAGGGATGAAATATACGAAAATGACCTCCTACATATAAGTAACTAGCATTCTCCCAACACATTACTACTCACTATTTGTTTTTGACCAAAAAGAATTGTTTAAAACTTTCTTAGCACTGATTTTTGCAATCACTAAATTAATGCTCTCTTAAGTATATATGTTCAGTCAATAGTAGCACAAAAACAGTTTAATTAGAGTGCATTATTTATTTTGTGACACTTGTAACACTGTTGTCCATATTAAGATTACAATAATTTAACTAATTAATAAGTTTTCAAAGCACCACTGAGCTTTTCATAACATTTCCAAATGCACTGCTCTTATCTTTATACAAAAAGTGAGACTATATTTGCATGACGATAAAAGGACTTGTACATAACAAAAGCGGTATTCTGACATACCAAACATAAACCTAGGGATTAATAAGCCTATTTGGATCTGATCGCGAAAGATTTTGACGCGAATTCAATAAACTTACGTACAGTGTCAAGATGACTTGTGTGAGGTTTGGTTCACTGAGCTTTATGGTTTTGGTCGTACATTTTCGGACTAAGAATTAAATCAAAGGGAGATACAATCAAAATAAATAGGTAGACGCTGGCAAGTTAAAATCAACAATAACCAATGAAAACGGAGGTCAACAGGACAAGTTCCGAGTCATGTGTGGGGAAATTCGAACACTCCACCTTTACCCGAAGTTTGTGCTGATGATGTTATTCAGAAAAACAATGAAAGCTCCACGGCCAAACCATCCAGCTCATAGAAAAAAACTTCACCTAAATTAACCATATGAGCTACGAATCTTCTACACCATCCCAATGTTAAGATGACTTTTTCAGCATTTACAATGTAAACAGTCCTCTGTGTTTCTGATAATACTCATAAACACGTATCATAAAATCAGTGCTAATTAAAGTAGCGTTTTGAACAGACTTATGATGACGATAGAAAATATATCATTAGATTTCAACAAAACAAAGGGTTTCACTGATGCGAGTCGTTCACATACTCCACTTTCGATTATATAACTACAACACTAAACGTGAAATTTTCTGTACGAAATTTCAACTGAAACGATAGGTGGTAACAAAAAATGAAAGTTTCCGTAGGTGTAATATACAGAATATAATCCATCATGGTATTTGTTGAAATTACGATGTCTGGTAACATTTCATCTTTTCATGAAAGAATAATTAAAAAATTTAGAATTAGAGAGGGGTTTTTTAAATATTATAGTAAGTTAATAGTTGAATTCATGAGTCAAATAAAGCTTGGCCACAATGGAAAACCTGGAAGCACCGGACGGCTGTTTCGTCCTAGTTTTAGACTCCTCAGCATTGCGTACCCGCCATCCATGGTGGTTTAACCTTAATTGACTCATGAATTCAACTATAAAATTACTATAATATCCACAAAACCCCTTTCTAATTATAATCATCATATGCTCACTCTTGACTGTCCCCAAGAGGTATTTCCTGGAGTTCTATTGAGAAGCCTTGATCAGTGGGGTTCAACCAGATATATTGGAAGATAGTAACTCATTGATGACAATGGTGGATGTGTCACTCAATTTCGTGGATTAATTGAATTTAGACACTAACATCGTTGGATGCCGGCTCAGTGGTCTAGATGTTAAGCGCTCGTGCGCGAGACTGATAGGTCCTGGTTTCGATTGGTGTGTGTGTGATGGTGGATGCGCACATTAAGACGAAACGACCGTCCAGTGCTTCCAGGATTTCCATTGTGGTCTAGCTTATGTGCCTTATGTATTGAACTATTACATTTATAATTGTCGTTCATTATGCTACTTTATTCTCCTTAGACCGTCAGTTGTGTTACAAATTCATGTGGAATTTTAGAATACTGAACTAATATGAAGCATAGGTGGATTGTTAAACACATTTTATATGAGTTGAACTTTCATGATGACCTTTGTAAGGTCATTTGGTTTTTATGATCTTTTGCCATAAATAATATGCACTTTTTCGCTAATAGCTAGTCCTCATACATACAAACACTGATTAACTAAATACAAATGAAATACGGAAACTTTTAACATTACATGAAATGTAGGTCATATACATTTACTTTAACCAATAAATCTCACTACTTTTTTGAATCGAAAATGTTACTGTGATCACTAATGTAAGATACCAATACATGTCATATTCCGTAAAATATAATCTGTAAACAAAAAATTTTTAAAACCTTGACTATGCACCCATACCATTAATATTTTGTTTCGATTATCAATAGTTTGGTTGTTGATTAACTGTACCGATTAAATACCACCCTGTAAAAAGCTCATACACGTGATTTAAAGCACATGTAGAACCTATTGCGTCATTACTGTTTGTTGTAGAGCGTTAGCAGCAGTATAAATGCATCATATGTCGACATACCTCAATTTTTATTGCGATGTGTAAGTTAATCAACTCAGTTATTGAATGAGATCATGAAGTGACCAATGCCAGACCACCCTTGGAAACCTGGAGGAATAGACGGCTGATTCGTCATATTACGGGACACTTCAGCAGCTGGCATCCTCGATCCTGAGGGTGAGATCCAAACCTATGGGCTTCAGTCTCGCGCGCGACCGCCTACCGCAAATTGATTGAAGTCACACATCAGAACCGATTGATTCCGGCAAAGTAGTCTAGAAGTTGAACGTTCATGTGCGAGACCGAAGGTCCTGGATTCGTGTCACGTGTACGCGCATTACTGAGGAGGGAAATACTGAGACGAAACGAATGTACAGAGCTTCTAGATTTTCAACTGTGGTCTAACATTAATCAGATCATGATCTCAATTAAAATTTAACGGTCTCCACAACCCTATTACTTACTTACTTAGCCTGTTACTCCTCGTGAAGGAGCATAGGCCGCTTACCAGCATTCTCCATCCAACCCTGTCCTGAGCAGTCCTTTCCAGCTCTTTCCAGTTGTTATTCATCTTTTTCATGTCTGCTTCAATTTCCCGACGTAATGTGTTATTTGGCCTTCCTCTTTTCCTCTTCCCTTCAGGATTCCAAGTTAGGGCTAGCCTCGTGATGCAGTTTGATTATTTCTGTAATGTATGTCCTATCAATTTCCATCGTCTATTCCTAATTTCCTCTTCAGCTGGAAACTGGTTTGTTCTCTCCCAAAAAGGCTGTTGCTGATGGTATCCGACCAACGGGTGTTGAGTATCCTGAGTATACAGCTATTTATAAATATTTTTACTTTCTTGATGGACCTCGGAGCTTGTGGAGCTGAAAGACGAGCTCCACAACCCTATACTGACCATTTATTAATCTTTGACTGGATAACTGTGTGTTAGGACCTGCATTTTCCATTACGTAACCAGTTCGAAATTATTTGCAAAAGGAAAAACTATTAATAATAATAGAGATATATACCTTCAGCACTATGATTAGTGTATATATATTCGGTGGCTTTGTGAAATGAATTCAAAAATAACAATTACATATTTTCTCTCAGAGTTTCGATATAGCACCTAGTTTAT